ACATGGGTTAAGAACACACTGGGACACATGTGGTGATGTCTGACAAGCGGTTCATTACATTTGACGGCGTTGGTACAGGCAAACCATTTGAGGATTCGAACATGGTCGAAGTCAAACATGGGTTAAGAACACACTGGGACACATGTGGTGATGTCTGACATGCGGTTCATTACATTTGACGGCGTTGGTACAGGCAAACCATTTGAGGATTCGAACATGGTCGAAGTCAAACATGGGTTAAGAACACACTGGGACACACGTGGTGATGTCTGACAAGCGGTTCATTACATTTGACGGCATTGGTACAGGCAAACCATTTGAGGATTCGAACATGGACGAGGTCGGAAACAGGTTTAGCACTTTATCTCAGCAATACGACATAAACCCGGGGCCCTGACGAACTCAGAACGCTCATCCATTTGACTGGAGCTCAACTGACAAAGAAGTTACAGTCTGGTTCAGAGTCACCAAGCCGAAAAGCTGAAGCGTCCCAGTGCTATCGTTCGATTTAATATTATTATTATTCCGCCGATTTTTGTACCAGAGCTAGCATAGTAACCACTGCCTCGATTCCATTCAAATTTTGTATGTGTATCCAGATACTTACGTACCAGATACCACACAAATTCCAAGGCCGTAGACCCAAAGACCAAGGGCAGATAACTGAAAAATAAGCAATTTTAAAAGCTATATTTTGCCCTATTGCTTCGCAACCGCTTGTCCAATTACTTTCAAACTTTAGATGTGTCTACTGCTTTGGGTGCTTGACATTTGATGTCCTTTGACTTTGGTCATTGGTCACGTGGTTTGGCAGCCATATTGGATTCAAGGTTTTCACAGGGTTTTTTGGGTACCTGTCTTCAAATCCTATCTCCTCTGAATCCACAGTCTGAATTGCATCCAAACTTTCTGAGAATTGTCTCCATAAATTTTGCATTAAACTCTGTTAGCCGTTTTTTGGATATCTTTCTTAGTCATCGCCCTATTGGATTTTGATTTTGATGATTTTTTTCACCGAAATTTTACTTGAAAGATCATATCTTGTAAGGTTCTCCACAGAAACTATTGAAAATTGACATGAAGTTAGTCTGACATGTATACCTCATCTTTTGTTCTTGGTTGCATGCTAAAAGTAACACCGCTTCGTTGTAATATTTGATCAATATTTGGGACACCCCTGGGACACCCCTGGAACACGCCAATTCGTAGCAGCGATGTTAGGTGACAATTTTTGAACGGAGTTGGCACAGGCAAACCCTTTATGGATTCGAACATGTTCGAGGTCGGAAATGGTTTTAGAACAGACCTGGACCCCCTGGCACACGCCAATTTCCTAGCTACGATACCCTGCAAGTGGTGCCTACATTTGACGGATTTGGTTCAAGGAAACCCTTTGAGGATTCGAACATGGACGTTTGGGCACAGTGTTACTTGGAGCCCGCCATTGCTGCTTGCAGCTTTAATTATTATTATTATTATTATCTATTATTCCGCCGTTTTTTGTTCTAGAGATAGCAGTTTAACCACTGGCTCGATTTTGTTCAAATTTTGTTGGTGTGTGCAAGTTGTTAGGTACCAGATAACACAAAAATTCCAAGGCCGTAGGCCCAATGGCCAAGGGCAGATAACTGAAAAACAAGTATTTTTTTAAGATATATTTCGCCTTTTTTTTTCGCAACCGCTTGTCCGGTTACTTTCAAACTTTACACATGTCTGTTGCTTCGGGTGCTTAACATTTTCTGTTCTTTGATCTTGGTCATTGGTCACGTGGTTTGGCAGCCATATTGGGTTCAGAAGTTTTTACAGGGTTTTGGGGGTACCTGTTTTCAAATCCTATCTCCTCTGAATCCAATGCATGAAATGCATCCAAACTTTCTGAGTACTGTCTCCATACATATCACATCAAACTTTGTTAGCCGATTTTGGATATCTTTTTTAGTTGTTGCCATATTGGATTCAAGGTTTTCACAGGGTTTTTTGGGTACCTGTCTTCAAATACTATCTCCTCTGAATCCACTGCATGAAATGCTTTCACACCAATCTCTGTTAGCCATTTTTGGATATCTGTCTTAGTGACGGCTCTGTTTGATTTTGATTTTGATGATTTCTTTCACCGAATTTTTCCTTTATATAAAGATCACATCTGGTAAGGTTCTCCACAGAAACTATTGAAAGTTTACATGAAGTTAGTGTGCCATATGTACCTCATCTTTTGTTCTTGGTTGCATGCTAAAATGAACACCGCCTGGGTAATATTGACAAAATACCGAAAACATCGCTCAGAAAACTCAGGATTATTTCTCTTTGACCGTCAAGTGTCTTTTGCAGTATGAATACTACCCTTGAAGATGAGGGTTAGAATTGGTCTTCAGCAACCCATGCTTGTCTCAAGAGGCGATTATCAGGATTCGAACATTGTCTGGGTGGTAAATGGGTTTAGAACATTCCGTTAAATCTGGCACACACCAATTTCGTAGTGGTGATGTCCTGCAAACGGTGACTATCTTTTGACGGAGTTGGTACAAGCAAACCCTTTGAGGATTCGAACATGAGGATTCGAGGTCGGAAATCGGTTAAGAACACACTGGGACATATGTGGGGATGTGTCACAAGTGATTCATTACATTAAACGGCGTTGGTACAGGCAAACCATTTGAGGATTCGAACATGGTCGAAGTCAAACATTGGTTAAGAACACCCTGGACACATGTGGTGATGTCTGACGAACGGTTCATTACATTTGACGGCGTTGGTACAGGCAAACCATTTGAGGATTCGAACATGGACGAGGTCGGAAACAGGTTTAGCACTTCATCTCAGCAATACGACATAAACCCTGACGAACTCAGAACGCTCATCCATTTGACTGGAGCTCAACTGACAAAGACGTTACAGTCTGGTTCAGGAGTCACCAAGCCAAAAGGCTGAAGAGTCCCAGTGCTATCGTTCGATTTAATATTATTATTATTCCGCCGATATTTGTACCAGAGCTACCATAATAACCACTGCCTAGCTCTATTAGCCGATTTTGGATATCTTTCATGGCGACGGACCTATTGGATTTTGATTTTGATCATTTTTTTCACCGAAACTTTACTTCGAAGATCATATCTTGTAAGGTTCTCCACAGAAACTATTGAAAGTTTTCATGAAGTTAGTGTGCCCTATGCATCTTATTGTTTGTTCTTGGTTGCATGCTAAAACCTTTGGTGTTAATATTTGATTTATATTTGGGACACCCCTGGAGCACGCAAATTTCATTGTGGCGATTTCCGGTGACTATTTCTTTACGGAATTGGTACAAGCAAACCTTAAATGGATTCGAACATGTCCGAGGTCGGAAATGGGGTAAAAACAGACTTGGACACTCCGGCACACGACAATTTCGTAGCGGCGATACCTTACAAGTGGTGCCTTCATTTGAGGGATTTGATACAAGGAAACCCTTTGAGGATTCGAACATGGACGTTTCTGCACAGTATAGCTTGGAGCCCGCCATTGCTGCTTTGCAGCTATATTTATTATTATTATTATTATTATTATTATTATTATTATTATTATTATTATTATAATTTTCATTATTATTATTATTATTATCATTATTATTAGTAGTAGTACTATTGTTATTATTATTAATGTTATGATTTCAGATATGTGTCAACGATGCGAATCCCTTGAACGTGAATACAGACAGTACAGCTCTGCTCCACACAGCTTCATCGTTCACGCAGGCAGAAGCATCATCATTGGTTCAGGAAGGAATAAGGAGGTCAAGAAGGAGAAGAAGAAGATCCTCCAGGACATAGAGAAGAAAGTGTCAGCTCTCAGGAACACGCTCGGGGGACATCTGCTGGTTCACCTAAACGGGCAGGAGGAGGGAGACAGGTATCTCGAGTACTTCCATAAATTCGTGGACAAAACTCTCCAAGACCTGATTGAGTGTGGATCATCATATCTGGATAATTATCGCACGACGTGGTTGCATGAGATACCAGGCTTTGAAAATTATGAAGATGTTTTATTGATAGATGTAGCTCTCACATGTGGAATTTCGACGGCAAATGTTAACACCAAGATATGCAATGACTTTGAAAAAACGAATCCGACAACATTTAATTTAGTTTCCTTACTGGCACATTCTCGATACGAGGCATCACATGGTGCACCTGCTTTAAAGGGAATTGATCTAGACAAGCGGCAGCTGTACCAAGAAACTCAGAATGTTGAACTGAAACTGTTCTGTCCAAAGAATGACATCTCACATGTGCAGTATATTTGGGAAGATCTTAAACTCAACTACAATGTAACGTCTTTCTCTAAAGTTCCTGGTGGAGGGTCATATTATGTGGGAGTAGAGGAAAGAGAGGTCACGAAGAACGGTTACAAGACTAAAGTACCCCATTTTGTCGGTTTTCAGGTAAATAATCCAGAAGAACTTAAGGGTGATCTGTCCAGGAAGGTAAAGGAGGAACTTTGTGTGTTATCTTTCACTGGTGAGTTTGGTGACCCACCGTCTGATCTGGTCACGATAGGAATCCATAGACTACCTGACGGAGGGAACAAGTGTGTGCTGGAAGTAGCAGTGAGGTTCTTTGGTGGGACTGTCTTCTATGACAAACAGGGGCCAAGAATTCATCAAATACAGAAACATGGAATATGCAGAATGGAAAGGACTGAGTGGCTACGAAGAATCCAGCAGCTCCCTTCATGGAAAGGGATACAAACAATGAAGTAGAGACTGCGGGCGAACACATTCTAAACACACAGATAAAAGAAGTGCAGTGAATACAGTGACTGTTTTCATATTTAATGAAAGCTGTTATGCAAATATCATTAAGTTGAAAAAACATAGTGATTGGCTTGACACTTGGATTTCAATTCCTTTAAGAAAATACAACAAAATTTGACTTTACTGTGTGTCTTGTGTCTTTGGGAAAAGACTTCATCATATAAATCAAAAAGAAGATTCAATCAAAGAGCGCTATCCCACAGAAGTCAGAATGTCATCCAACGAGAGTGAAGACTCGGATTTGTCCAGCACCTACAGCTCTGACGGGGAGGTCCAACACTCCATCACCAGACCACAGAGCAAACCAGGGCTCAAGTATCTGGACTTTGACGGTAGGGGTATATCTTAGACTGAATTCACTTCAGCAATACAAGTTTATTCTCCTGTAAGAGTGGAGGTATTAACGTGTTAAAGCCTGGAAACCTAGATTCAACTTGTCCCATACAATGTATAAGTTATACGCCAAATGGAGTGTTAGATAATATAGACTGTTTTTTCTCTTGCATTGATAACTTATAATATACTGACGATTAACCATGCCCATTCCTACTTGTGTGACTATTAATGTACAATTTACTCTGACATCACTGACTTTGCTACACTTCCAGATGTGGACTTTTCCTATGCAGTATTTGACACACAAGACAGTAAGTTAAGTTGATATATTATTTGTATTGCAAAGTGGTAAGAAGGATAGTCAGTCATGTTATTGGTCATTGATAAATGCCAGTGCATATGAAATCAATAGAGAAAAGAAAACTCATATCTTTTATATGAAATATATGAAACAAGTCGACACCATGTTTTGCCGAGGATGACGATATTTTATTTACCTTACAAAACCATGCTTCCATGTTTTACAGCTTGTAGACAGTAGTGACTGGTGTAAGAAGTACAGCTAACCAGTTCAGTAGCAGAACGATTGGTGATGTCATTTCGTTGTCAGATCAGAGCAACCAATGACGTCACATAGGTCTGCTAAGCACTTTGATGCAATGTCATAATAGCAATATCTCCTAGGAGACCCAAGTGATATATCCTATGGTAGAAAGCTTCAGGTGATAAATAAGGTTATTACATTAGTATAACAACAGTTTGTCTGCTATTATTACACAACTAAAATCTGGTGCAAATGAAGTGACCCTTTGGGGAAAAAAGTCAGCATGTTTCCATTGCATTGTCTGTGTTACAGAAGCACACTGCATTCATCCAATAGACGTGGAGCTGTTTGTAAGGCCAGATATTTTAACATCCGTGAGATCCATACCTGGTTCAAACTTCGTCTACATCAACTCCCCTGCGCTGACGTTCCTGGAGCCAGAGGAGGAGGTGCCAGCTCCACACAGCGTCATCTGCGACGCCTACATCTTTACAAAAGACAGAGTGGTCCTCGTCCTGACGTTTGTTTCCAGAGATGAGCCTGACGCTGTTCTTTACAACTCCACACAGGCCCGGGCTCTGACTGTCGCTGTCAGGAGCAGAACTTGCACCAACTTTCACCCCGTGCATGGTGTCATATCACCAGATATATACAGAAGTTCTCAGAACTTCCTGACCAGGATCCAGCAACTTCACAAAACTGCAGCGCATGTGTCTGTACATCAGTCCTTGACTTCCAGAAATGGGAAGATGGTTGACATATTCAGGGCGATGATCCAGCAACAAAGGCCATCAAGAAAACTCACAGGTAGAAATTGACTCTCAATATCTCATTTACAAACAGTAGCGTTAATGAGTGTCTTCAACCTCAACAATACACTTTCCCTTTTATATGACAATTGTTTAGTTTTAACACATATTTTCCAGAGTTGATGGTACGTGTCAGAACGGGTATGTTTTACCAATACTCATCACAACATTAATGAATGTAGGGATTAATCAAGATAAGCACGAAGACAAGAAAATAACTGTTACACTTTCGATTGTAAAAGTGTTTATTCTGGAGTGTTGCTGTTATGAGTAGACAAGTCTCTTCATGTTATTTTACTTCATGTATCTGTGGTTGTATTGCTATGAGTATGCGTATACATATGTTATTTTGTCTTCAGCTTTTGACTAATGAGCCATTTGTTTCAGATTGGGAGATATTATTTGTGAAGACAGCTGCCTACCAGGAAGTCCGAGACCAGCTACAACAACACAATCTGGTGATGCTGACTGGTGGCCCTGGGGAAGGTAAGACCACAATAGGACACATGCTGTGTTGTGACTACCAGCAACAAGGATACAACACAGTCTTCTACAGCAGATGGGAGGATTTCAACATGGATGTATTCAAGGCTACAAAACCTACACTGGTGGTGATTGATGACATGGGAGAGCACTGGGGATATTCAAACTCTGTCAAAAAGATACTCTACAAAATATATACCAACAAGCTTGTTCGTGTTGTTATTATATACCCGACCTGCAAACGAGACACCTTCAAGGGCTTCAATCGAAAGATGGACATAACACAGATAGGAAGACAGAACTGGAACAGAACAAAGCAGGAATATTCCCAGATGCTGGAGATGCAGACAGACATTCCATCAGACACACGGGAGGAGATCATAGCTAACCTTCCTTCATATGTCGGTTTCCCCAAGGTCATCAAACACTTCTCTCAACACAGACCTGCCACAGATCCCATAACATTTTTCGCATCTCCTCACTCACATTTCAGAAAAGAAATAGAAAGATTACTTAGAATTGTTGATTATTCTGCTCCAATGATATGTATCTTGGTCTCTGGCAACAAAGTGAAAGACAGCTATCGATATAAGTATGAAAGTGACTCTGGTGTGAGAGAGGTTCAGTCTCTCTTTCCCGAATTAAGAACAGATAATCTTCCTGGCATGTTACACACATTGTGCGCCACCTATCTATGTCAATCTTGCGACAATATCAGTTTCACAGACCCTGTCATATATGACGCCTGTGTGTTTGTTGTTGACAACAAGTTTCCTGGAGTTCTCTGGAAAAATAGCAAAGTTATATTTGAGACTGGCAACAAGAAATCTCTCCCAGACATACCTGATAAAACCATCTTCATCTCCAGCCACAACACAGACATGTTACAGACACAGCTGATAGAAGACACAAGGAGAGGGAAGTTCAGACATACATTCCGTCACCCAGTTCTCAGCAGGGAGGACAATATAGACAGGTTCATGACACAGCTTGGGGACAGTTTTGCGGATGTTATACATTTACAGGATACAGCTGGTTCTTCCACTGCTTCAAGGAGCTTATTGTACTGGGTCCTACAGTCTGGTAATGATTACCTGCGTCAGAAGGTGTTACAGAAACAGGAACTGTCACAGGTACATGTCAGTGAAGAACTAGCTTGTTGTATCAGACTACAAGACACCAAGTCCTTCCTGTATCTATGGCAGCAGCTGCTGTGTCTACAGAGGGGAGATATCACATATACACCAGACTATGCAGATGCTGATGGAAACTCTCTTCTTATGATGTCTGTGGACAGGAATAATGCCGACGTGGTCAACATCTTACTGAAAGATGATGCAGAGTGTCTGATCAAGAACAAAGTCGGAAATTCTGCCCTCAATCTGGCCTCTTTGAGGGGATATACAGATGTTGTCAAGTTACTGCTTCCCCACATGGAGGACTGGAAGAATCTGCCAGGGCAGGACTTGAGAACACCAGTCAAGATGGCTGCACAGAAAGGTCATGGTCAGCTGTATGAGTATCTGGCAGATGAAGAGAAGTGTGACCTGACTGGTGTTGATGATAACGGTGATACTATCCTCCATCTGGCATGTCAGGGCGGTAGTGTCCACATTGTCCAACATCTGATGTCCAGTAAGCTGTTTGACATCAACCACAGAGGCCAGTATGGAAAGACACCTCTGATGATTGCAGCATGCAGCGGCCACAGAGATGTGTTTCAGTTACTTCTGTCACAGAACTGTCACATCTCTCCTGAGGACTTCAGCATGTGTGAGACACTCTCTTATGGACATGTTGGTGACTGGCTGAACATGTCACAGTTTCTACAAGCAAGAGAACATGACCTGAATAGGTTCATGATAACACACAAGAAACATTATATCTCAAAATTGAAATCACACTTAGAGGAGAAAGGATCGAGCATGTTACTTGTGGATGTGAGTGGTCAGAGTCTGCTTCACACAGCAGCAGAAACAGGGAACCTGAAGCTGGCAGAGTTCCTCCTGTCACAGGGCAAGGTTGACATCAATACGAGGGATGCCAGCGGGAGGACTCCAGTGATGTTAGCAGCAGCTGCAGGACACAGAATCATGTTTGAGTTTCTAACTAAAAAACAGTGTGACTTGTCATTAAAAGATACAGAGTCACGTGGAGTTCTTCACTACGCCAGTCAAGGGGGAAACTTGGGTATTGTACAGGATGTTGGATGTAAGGATGTAAACGAGACAGACAGATATGATAAAACACCTGTGTCGTATTGTGTAGAGAGAGGACATAAACACATTTTTGACACATTGTTGAACACAGGGGGAGATCTGTCAGTTGTTGACACTGACAAGAACACACTGCTACATCTGGCATCCAAGGGAGGTAACCAGGCTATAGTGGAGCATCTCCTGTCATCAGGAACGTTTGACATAAATGCTGTGAACAGAGACAGGAGAACACCCCTGTTGGTGGCAGCGTACAGTGGACACACAGACATCTGTCAGCACCTGATTGTTGTCGGAGCTGATGTACACAGACAGGACTATGATGGGAATGACGTGGTACTTGTTGCTGCTCAGACAGGGAATCTCCAGCTGGCTGAGTGTGTTTTGTCTGTGAAGAAACGAGTTGACTTTGTACAGGACAAACATGGGAAAACAGCACCGATGTGGGCAGCAGAGAGGGGTGATGCTGACATGTTTTCTCTGATGGGTAAAGGGTGTGATCTGTCTATGAAGGATGTTGAACAAAACAGCATCCTTCATTGCGCTTGCACAGGAGGAAATGTAGATATAGTCGAATCTATTGTTGCTGAAAAAAAAGTCGACTTCAATGGAAGAAATATATCTCAAGAAACACCAGTGATGAGGGCAGCATTGGGGGGACACAAAGCAGTGTTTGACCTACTTGTGAGCAAAGAATGTGACCTGAAAAAGAAGGCTAAATTCAATGACAACATCCTTCATAAGGCTTGTGAGGGAGGCAATGTAGACATTGTAGAGTACATTGTCTCTCATAACATAGTTGACATCAACAGCACAGGTTATGCCAGGAGAACACCAGTGATGAGGGCAGTGTTAAAGAGACACAAGGCAGTGTTTGACCTACTTGCGAGTGAAGGATGTGACCTGACAGTGAAGGATGAGGACGGTGACAACATTCTTCATATGGCTTGTGAGGGAGGCAATGTACAGATTGTAGAGTACATTGTCTTTCATAACATAGTTGACATCAACAGCACAAGTTATGCCAGGAGAACACCAGTGATGATGGCAGTGTTAAAGGGACATAAGGCAGTGTTTGACCTACTTGTGAGTAAAGGATGTGACCTGACAGTGACGGATAGGTATGGTGACAACATTCTTCATAAGGCTTGTGACGGAGGCAGTGTAGAGATTGTAGAGTACATTGTCTCTCGTAACATAACTGACATCAACGGCAGGGGTTATGAGAGAACACCAGTGATGATGGCAGTGTTAAAGGGACATCAGGCAGTGTTTGACCTACTTGTGAGTGAAGGATGTGACCTAAGAGTGAAGGATAGGTATGGTGACAACATCCTTCAAAAGGCTTGTGAGGGAGGCAATGTACAAATTGTAGAGTATATTGTCTCTCATAAGATAGTTGACATTAACAGAACAGGTTATGGTGGGCGAACACCAGTGATGGTGGCAGTGTTAAAGGGACATAAGGCAGTGTTTCACCTACTTGTGAGTGAAGGATGTGACCTAACAATGAAGGATAAGTATGGTGACAACATCCTTCTCGCGGCTTGTGAGGGTGAGGGAGGCAATGTGCAGATTGTAGAGTACATTGTCTCTCATGGTATAGTTGACATCAACAGTACAGGTCATGCCAGGAGAGCACCAGTGTTGTGGGCAGTGTTAAATGGACATAAGGCAGTGTTTGACCTACTTGTGAGTAAAGGATGTGACCTCACAGTGAAGGATAAGTATGGTGACAACATCCTTCAAAAGGCTTGTGAGGGAGGCAATGTTCAGATTGTAGAGTACATTGTCTCTCGTAACATAGTTGACATCAACAGTACAAATTCTGTCAGGAGAACATCACTTGATATCGCAGAAAACCAAGGCAACCATTCGTTGGTTGATATTCTGAAGCAATTTGGTGCAGTGTGAGAAGTGTCCATCTTGTCAATGAAAGCCTCGTCTGCCCTGAAATTTGACATGTTTTGACAAAAAACACTTGTGGCCAATTTTGTTAGGAAAATTAAATTTGGTATGTACATAGTTCGAAGTTTGGCTCATTTGTGTTCTGATTTTGTGATATCTTAACTTTTGACCATTTTTTGACCTTTTGTATTTCGACTTTGCTCATTAATTTTCTCAAAATGTGCTATAGGCTTTGTAAAAGCTGAAACTTAACATGCTTCGTCCACACATGACAAAAAGTGTATATCCCGTCTTACTTTGTATATGTTGTGTTACATTGCAAATCTTGTGTCATATTGTATATCTAGTGTTACATTGCATATCTTCTGGTATATTGTATATTTTGTCTCATATTGTATATCTAGTGTTACATTGTATATCTAGTGTCATATTGTATATCTGATGTTACATTTATTTTCTAGTGTCATATTGTATAGCTTGTGTTACATTGTATATTTTGTTTCATATTGTATTTCTATTGTTACATTGTATATTTTGTCTCATATTGTATACTTAGCGTTACATTGTATATTTTGTCTCATATCGTATATCTAGTGTTACATTGTATATCTTGTGTCATGTTGTATATCTAGTGTTACATTCTATGTCTAGCATCATATTGCATATCTAGTGTTACATTGTATGTCAAGTTTCATATTGTATATCTTGTGTTACATTGTATATAATGTGTCATATTGTATATCTAGTGTTACATTGTATGTCTAGTGTCATATTGTATATCCTGTGTTACATTGTATATTTTCTTACAGTGTATATCCAGTATTACATAGTATATCTTGTGTTACATTGTATATTTTGTCTCATATTTTATATCTAGTGTTACATTGTATATCTTGTGTCATATTGTTTATCTATTGTTATATTGTATTATTTTGTCTCATATTGTATATCTAGTGTTACATTGTATATCTTGTGTCATATTGTATATTTAGTGTTACATTGTATGTCTAGTGTCATATTGTATATCTTGTGTTACATTGTATATGTTCTTACATTGTATATCCATTATTACATAGTATATCTTGTGTTACATTGTATATTTTGTCTCATATTGTATATCTAGTGTTACATTGTTTATCGAGTGCCATATTGTAAATCTAGTATTTTATTGTATGTCTAATGTCATATTGTATATCTTGTGTTACATTGTATATCTTGTGTCATATTGTATATCAAGTGTTTGATTGTATATTTTGTCTCATATTTTGTATCTAGTGTTACATTGTATATCTTGTGTCATATTGTATATTTAGTGTTACATTGTATGCCTAGTGTCATATTGTATGTCTAGTGTTACATTGTATGTCTAGTATCATATTGTATATGTAATGTTACATTGTTTATCTTGTGTCATATTGTATTTATTATGTTACATTGTATATTTTGTTTCATATTGTATATCTAGTGTAACATTGTATATCTTGTGTCATATTTCATACCTAGTGTTACATTGTATGTCTAGTGTCATATTGTATATATTGTGTTACATTGTATATTTTGTCTCATATTGTATATCTAGTGTTACATTGTATATCTTGTGTCATATTGTATGTCGCGTGTTATCTTGTATAGCCTGTTACATTGTATATTCCCTGTTACGTACCATATACCATGTTACATTGTATATTCCCTGTTGCATACTATATTCCCTTTTACATTGTATATTCCGTGTTACGTACTATATCCCCTGTTACATTGTATATTCCCTGTTACATACTTTATACCCTGTTACATTGTATATTCCCTATAACATACTATATACCCTGTTACATACTATATACCCAGTTGCATTGTATATTCCCTGTTACACCCTATGTAATTTGTCCCACCAAACATATGTTTGGTACAAAGTGACCTGGTGCTGTAATAGTGCCACTAACATCGTAGTGTTGCTGGTATTCCATGACACGTTGTGTAACAGTTCCAGTTATTTGACAAGCTTCAATTACGTCCTCTGCTTCTGTGCATCACATGACCCGAGTCAGTGCTGTGGGAAGCATGCGGTATTCTAACAATCCAACAGCTGGTATAGGGAGATAATTATGTATATTTCACAGGTGTTCACATTTACAAATTGCTCATACTATTGAAACACGAGCAGGTACTGTTGTTACTGTGTAAATATTTTTGACGTGACATTTGCTTTTTGTAATATTGGTCAAATAAAACACGAACTCAATCAGGTATCCTCCTTCAATCATTGATATAATATGGCTTAAACTACAGAGGATTCTATCCTGTCTTAACGTGCAACACATATAACTAATTCTCACATTCGTCACAAAAGGGGTCGATGTTGAACACATCCTACCTTCACGTCATCAGTCAATATAGACCCACATCCATCACTCACTCTCTCACTCATCACATCAGGAGTCGATGTTGAACACATCCTACCTTTACGTCATCAGTCAATATCAACAAACATCCATCACTCACTCTCTCACTCATCACATCAGGAGTCGATCTTGAACACATCCTACCTTTACGTCATCAGTCGATAGATACCCACATATATAACTCACCACAGCATGGTTCTTCTTTAAATATGTGTTTCAGTGTAGCACACTGAGGTCAGACAGTGTGAAGGACTTCTCTTGGGTGTATGAATTTTTTCTGTCAACACGTGTGTTTGAAATTCTCATAATGAGGTCCGACTGAAGGAACGGCTTGTCTGGTGGTGTGAGTTGTTCTGTCAACACGTGTGTTTTAGATTCTCACAATTAGGTCAGACTGAGTGAAGGGCTTGTCTGGTAGTATGAGTTATTCTGTCAACACGTGTGTTTGAAATTCTCATAATGAGGTCCGACTCAGTGAAGGGCTTGTCTGGTGGTGTGTGTGTGTCATCGGTGTTCAATAATCTCAGCTGAATAAACCTACACTAACATTCATGGCTTTATACCTCCAGCAGTTGTCTCCCTTACATAGGCTAGGTGCTCAGTAATATCAAGTGGATAAACCAACGCTAACTGCATGGCTCTAAATACACAGCAGTTGTTTCACCTGATGTATCAGAACATATTTTACTGCTACTTATGCGAACATTATTGTCTTCCTAGGAGAGACAATAATTATTCAGGGGAGATAACTACAGCTGAATAGAAATAAGTGCAGCTGAAACGGAGACGAATAAATCAGGGGACGTAAAAGTAAAGGTAGTGAGATAACTGTTTTTGAAGAGCAGTCAAATTATTACTCAGGGGAATAACAATGTACTAAGGGGAATAACTGTGTACTAAGGGAAATAACTGCATCAAGACCACTTATGGATCAGGGGAGAAAACTGTCTCTGAACACAGCTGAAGGTGGTGCTACACAACTGTCCAGGCAGCTGTAACTGAAGGGATAACTAAAATCAAATGAAAAATTGGATGAGTGTAATAAATTGACATATTCACAACCTTGTACATAATATGATATGGTTGTCCCAGTAAACAGCGCATACAAGGCAAAATTCCAAAATATACAAAATATACGCATTCCGTATTGACAAAAATATACAAAGCTTGTTTTTGATTGCACATATGCAGAAGTTTACCACTAATTCATTCAGTTTATTTTCCACTTTACTAAGGGTTTCTTCACGAATTATTAGGTATTCTTCTGTATGTGACAATAATGTTTAAATAATATGTTCATTTTGACAACTATATTCTCTTGACTACACCAAGGCACACAAGAAGCATATCGTCAAGTACGAACTGCACAACCATCCCAATGTTAAAAGGGGAAGCACCTAAGTGGTGATCCTCATCTGTCATTTCGTCAAACCGAAAGTTGGTTCTCGTCTGAGAGCCTGTGTTTGTAAAAGTCACATTTTTTTCCGTTCACATCTCTGGATACATTTGTGATAACCATGGTAACCACTTTGGTGTTTAATCTGCTTCACATACGCCCTTCTTGGCGGGTCACAGATGATGCAGGGTATTTGTAGATGTATCTGGACATCGTTTGCCACACATCATCTCCTGATGGCTGAAGTAAGTTTCAGTGGAATTGTCACTGACGTCCTGCAAGTCAAGATCCACATCCACGGGCTCCTCCTCGTCAAAGATTTCATCCTGATTGCTCTTTCCAATCTCACTTTCTAAATCCATGGGGACAGATGTAACATAGTCGACTAAGGCACCACATTTGACCATGCAGAGTTGTGTCGCTTGACCACACCAGAAATCTGTGATCATGGCTTCGAATCCAAGTGTGCCCCAGTTATGTTTCTAGGTCTGTCAGCATCATACATGTGCCCTTGGGTTTCGCCAGAGTGGTACACGTCTGAAACTTTCTTGCTACATTAAGATGACACGCCATGATATGATTGGAATACAGTTTGAAGAACTCGTTAACTCTGTCTTCATCTCGATAATTGAAGCAATATATTCATGTATGAAGGATGTGTATCGGCCTTTGTCAGTACTATAACATTTCTCAAGTTCTTGATCATGAATACCTGGAGATGAAATTTCACATGGATCTCTCTCTACAGTGGCGGTTGTACTGGATTCTCGTCACAGGAGCACAAACCATCCTCCTTTCGTTCCTGTAAGACGTTGATGCCATAATTCACAAAATTGCTATGATTACACTGGGTCATGTCAAATTGTAAAATGATTGTGGCTAGAACCTGATAAATATATAACTTATTTTTGAAGTTGGTTAACATTGCATTATTATTGCATGCGTTGGTTAGTTGTCTATCACAATCACCATTGAATGCTTGTATATGAGTGTGGTAATTTATACATCAATCACATACACTTAAAGCTGACCATACCATACATATTTTCATGGATATTGTAAACAAAGGGACCTCAGAATAGCAGTCTCATTTTCATGTTCTAGCCAAATAGTTTATCTAACAATAGCCTTTGACGTGCGGATATTTGTCAGGTTCTTGCAAAAAAGCTTGTACAGAGCCATCACATACCTAGAACATGTACCTATTACAACAAGAAGTGTGATTTCGCATC